CAGGCTATTAGCATTTATGGAATAAACATGCAACCACTCAGTTAAAAGATGCTGTTATATAAGGTTAGGAAGAATTTTTGTAGGAAGCATGATAGTTATCTATGCCTATACTTGTTATGAAAACAGAATAGAACAAGTTTAACTATCAGCATGAGAGATTTAGGCTAGATAGCTGGAAGATTTTTCTATACAGGTTGTAACATAAAATAATTGTAGTATAATTTGTTTTGAAATCTTTTTTAAAAAGAAGCAATACACGTATTTTTTTAAATGTGGAATGACTAGTTGTAATCATTCCTCAAAGTAGAAATTAGACCAACCACAAGGAGCTCTTCTTGTCCTTCAAGCTACAGAACTTCCAGAGACCTAATTTTCTCAAATAGAATTCAGAAAAAAATGCAGCAAGATCCTTCTGGCCCAGCCATCTCACATCACAGCTTTAACCACTCAACACATGGACATGAAAGATTTCAAGATAAAAGTAGGTGTGTGACCTAAAATCAAAAAGTATCGAAGTCCCTGTTCTAGATTTGCTTCTGATTTGATATAAGACCTTAGGCAAACAATTAATCTGGATATCTGTGTCCTCATTTACTAAATAAGAATATCCTCAAGGGGTACTATACAGTGTACCAGTTTAAGAGTCAAAGCAGTGCTGAAAAAAAAAAATTTAAAGTAACTGAACCTAATAAAACATAAAATATTATTAATGTAGACATTAAATAAAAATAGAGTCCATAAAGCTTCAAATTTACTCAAAATAGCTACAATGTAAAAGTACTAAGGAAGCTAAAGAAAAATTTTTTAAATTACATTTCAAGTTCTTCATTTTAACATATCAGAATAGAATCGGATTGATTTTTGGTTGCTCTACCATTTACTTATAATGGGTGACTTAGATTACTCACTGAGCCTCCATTTCTGTCTAAAACTAGGCTCATTTTGGTGCTTATCTCGCAGACTGTGTTGCAGATTAAATCAGATAACTTCGGGCACACAATAAACCTTCAAAAACAATTAGTTGCTGTTACTGTTATGAATACGATCATTATTGTCACTGTCATCATGATCATCATCACTTTTTTTTTTTTTTACAGAGTCTCACTTTGTTACCCAGGCTGGATTGCAATGACTCAATCATAGCTCATTGTAACTTTGGACTCCCGGCCTCAAGTGATCCACCCACCTGACGTCCTCAAGTGTTAGAATTACAGGCATGAGCCACTGCACTCAGCTCGTCATCACTTTTGTAGGGAAGTAGCATAATATGGTAAAAGAACCGGAGCTTTGTAATTGGACAGAGTCTGGTTCAAATTTTACCTCTGCTATTTATCAGTTGTACAACCATCACCTTCTAAGCCCCTGTTACTTAATCTGTAAGATGGAAGAGTCACCTTCCTCCTAAGGATGTTCTGAGAATTAAATGCAATAATACGAAGCACCTAGCACAACGTAGGTCTCCCAATAAAAGTTTCCTTTTCATCTCTCTTTTTTTTTTCAAAGCCAATTACATGCATCTGTCAAACAGTTAACATTATATAAGTAGGCTGGCTGCAGTGGCTGACGCCTGTAATCCCAACACATCGGGAGGCCGAGGTAGGCAGATCACCTGAGGTCAGTTCGAAACCAGCCTGGCCAACATGGCAAAAGTACATGAAAAAGTACAAAAATTACCCAAACGTGGTGGTGCGCACCTGTAGTCCCAGCTACTTGGGAGGCTGAGATATGAGAATTGCTTGTACCCGGGAGGCAGAGGTTGCAGTGAGCCGAGATCATGCCACTGCACTCCAGGCTGGGTGACAGAACAAGACTCCATCTCAAAAAAAAAAACGTAGAAAAGAGTTGTTCTGGGTACGACAGCAACATAACAAGGAGCAAAGACTTGAGTTCTAACACAGAGGCCACAGTAAACAGAGAGATCTTCCCCGATTGTCCAAGTGCAAATTAGTATGTATTTCTAAATAATGATGTGGTTATTTGTACTAGTGAAAAGTGAGAAAGAACCTGAATGGCCAATAATATAAAAAGGCAGAAAAAATAGGAGTGTTAAATAAATAACAGCATACCTATTGGATGAAATATTGTACAGACACTAAAAATCATATCTCTGAGGAATATCTAATGTTACAAGGAGACGCTCCTGATAAAAATGTCAGGTTTTAAAAAAACACTATAAACTTTATATACATGGTATACCATTTTTGTAAAAATTATACATTATACATTATAAACAGATATGCACGTAGACAGAAAGAAATACAGAAAATATTCATACTGCCGGTCTTGAAGAGGAATACAGCAAGTAATTTTTCAATTCTTTCCTATGCTTTTTAGCATTTACTCTATTATGCTATCCTTCTTCACTGTTTGGTTTCCCCAACTAAAACATAAGCTCTATAACAACAGAGATCTTTGGGGTTTTTTTGTTCACTGCATCTGGACAGTGCCTTGCACATATCAATCATTCAAGACATATTTGTTAATAAATACAAACACATATATGCATTTATATCTATCAAATGAGCATTTATGACTTGCATAATCAGAAAAAATAAACTTTACTTTGAAAACAATACAATTCCCTGTTACATATTATTATTAACCTAATTCTGGCCTTCAAAGGTAGCAGTTCAGTTTAACCTCTTGCTTTATCATCAACCATCCTTGTCCTGTGTGAGAATTAGTGAAGAGCTCAATGGCCATGACCAACAACTCAGGATTTGGGAGTTTCCAGCTGATACGTCAATTCGTAACAACTTGGATATCAGTCATAGGTGCACACAATGTGAACGATACTGAAAATCTCAAACTTTCTCCCAATACCCACCAGAGAGCCACAGGTATTTTTTCACCTATATTGGGTCACCTAGGTTACAGGGATCACCTAACAGTGAATAAAAATACTGTCCGTCCCTTCAGCCCAAACATCAGATTCAATGGTTAAGAATATTAAATAAATAAAAAGGAATTTTTAAACAAAATAAATGTAAAGGCCTTTCAGTATAACAAATATATGTCTAGCTGGTAGTCAACTGGCAAGTTCATCTATCTAGAATTCAAATGGAAATTATCCATCGTGATGACTCAAAATAGATGTCAAAAAGGCAAATATCCATAGAAAAGCCACCTGGTGTTTTTATGAATAAATTAAGACCAGAGCCTATTTATTCTTAGTTTAGTTAAAATTGTAATAAGGTTGATTACCCAAAGACGAAATCTACCATCAATACATATGTCACTTATGTTCCAGACAGTTTTTAGGTGCCTGAGATGAGCAAGATAGCTATATTCTAGCAGGGGAGGAGAGAAAACAAACATGGGAGCAGGGAAACAGTTAAGTTCAGAGAGTGCTAAGTGCTCTGGAGATTATATCATGTACGATGACAGCCTGGTGCAGCATGGTATATTTGGAAAAGGGGTAGGCATGGCCAGTGGCTACTTTAGCTAAGAAATTTATAAACTGAATTACAAGGAGGCAAGAATATAAAGTAAAAAGAGAAATTCACACCAAGCAGAGGAAACACCAAGTACAAAAGAAGGCAACTGCAGCTGCAGCCTGTAAGGCAAGGAGTAAAAGGAAAGGTGGTAGACAAACATTCAATCCTACAGAATGACGTAGGTCATATTACAGGGTTTGGGTCTTATGCTGGGTGTAATAGGACATTACTGCATGGCTTTAAGCACCAAGGAACTGATAGGCTCTGATTATGAACAGCACAGTAAGGAACACTAACTGCAAGAAAATAAGATAAAATAAAAATACAAAAATCAGATAAAACCTCAAAAAGTCATCTGAAGCAATTTAAAGAAAGGACTAACATTCCTGCACCTCAATCACAGGCCCCAAAGCTATCAGTGGGATTAGAGCACAGTAAATAACTGATGCTCATCAGAATGAGTAGGATTCACCAACAAAACCTAAGAGTACAAAATGCTGCCATGATAAGACACTTAAAATATTTTATAAACTTTATAAACTGTAAAATATATATCATCTAAAAATACTCTTTTTAGAATGGCCAAAGGACTGTATAATTTCTGAAAGTTTCATCTAAATAATTTACTATAATGGTCCAACAAATAAATCTTTAGATAATCAAATTTAGTTTCCTAAAACAATTCAATTTCTAAAAAGCTAAAGTGTTAAGCTCTCCTTAAAATAATAAACACATTTAAAGATCCATGTTCTCTTCCTATTTGCCAGTTATAAAATTCATTTTAAAAATATATTTTTAAATCCATACTCTACCAAACAAAGCCAGTTCTTTCACCATCATTTAAATATATTCCTACCTCCTCACCTCTACTTAGGCCATTGTTTCAACTTCTAATCCTTTACCCCGCTCCTCACTATTCCAACTCAAATCCCATCCCTCACTCTTATCTTCTCTGAGTATGGAAAATCAGGCAAATTTTTTAAAACCTTGTCAGTTGGGGGTGGTGTGGGGTTTACAGCACTCTTATGTGTAACTACCACGGGAGCAGAAATGTAAGCAATCAAAAGTTGTATGCTTTAAAAAAATCCTGAATTTTAAATTTTATTATTTGTATTAACTGCAGTATTCCAGGTTTACTGTTTAGTAGCCTAAATCTTCACATAAGTTTTAAATGTATTAAAAATTTAGGGATTACGAGACCATATATTTTAGAAAATGAACCCAATATGAAATTTAAAAAATTAAACACCCTTAATCAAATAATTCTATCCACTATTCCAAACTGCTTACAAAGAAATTCAGTGGAAATTATCCTGTGAATTAATATCTACCCTTTCTAAAAGATAACCAACTGGAAAAAGAAATTAGGACTTTCCTGTTACCTTTCTTACCACGTGAAAAATGCAGATTGTTTATTCTAAAAATAAATATAAGCTTTTGAATATATTTTTATAATATGGATATTATGTGAATCACTAGGTTTGGAATAAATACCATTAAATGGAGAGTCAAAGTCAACACGATAGAAATATAAATCCAAATTCATATTTCAAAAGGCACTTAGTGCTTGCTTCGACAGCACATATACTAAAACTGGAATGATACAAAGAAGATTAGCATGACCCCTGCTCAAGGATGACACGCAAATTCATAAAGCATTCAATTTTTTTAAGGAACTTCTTCACAAAGAAAACACAGCAGGGGTCTTAAAAAATGTTTAAAATGATGAATACAAGAACCTCTTGGCTACAAGAGAGAATTTTCCATTACAAAACTGGAACGTTAGATACAAAATTATTAGTAATGGTTGTTACCTATTACCATTTACGGGTGATGTACATGAGCACAAACAGCTTTTTTTAAATTAGAATTTAAAATTCCCATTTCCTCACTCCTTCCACCTTTTCTTTTTTTTTTAATACGTATTTTATTATTATTATTATTATTATACTTTTAAGTTCTAGGGTACATGTGCACAGTGTGCAGGTTTGTTACATATGTATACATGTGCCATGTTGGTGTGCTGCACACATTAACTCTTCATTTACATTAGGTATATCTCCTAATGCTATCCCTCCCCACTCCCCCCACCCCACAACAGGCCCCAGTGTGTGATGTTCCCCACCCTGTGCCCAAGTGTTCTCATTGTTCAATTCCCATTTATGAGTGAGAACATGCAGTGTTTGGTTTTCTATCCTTACAATAGTTTGCTCAGAATGATGGTTTCTAGCTGCATCCATGTCCCTGCAAAGGACATGAACTCTTCCTTTTTTATGAAGGCATAGTATTCCATGGTGTATATGTGCAACATTTTCTCAATCCAGTCTATCATTGATGGACATTTGGGTTGGTTCCAAGTCTTTGCTATTGTGAATAGTGCTGCAATAAACATACGTGTGCATGTGTCTTTATAGCAGCATGATTTATAATCCTTTGGGTATATGCCCAGTAATGGGATCACTGGGTCAAAAGGTATTTCTAGTTCTAGATCCTTGATGAATCGCCACACTGTCTTCCACAATGGTTGAACTAGTTTACAGTCCCACCAACACTGTAAAAGCGTTCCTATTTCTCCACATCCTCTCCAGCACCTGTTGTTTCCTGACTTTTTAATGATCACCATTCTAACTGCTGTGAGATGGTATCTCATTGTGGTTTTAATTTACATTTCTCTGATGGCCAGTGATGATGAGCATTTTTTCGTGTGTCTGTTGGCTGCATAAATGTCTTCTTTTGAGAAGTGTGTGTTCATATCCTTCGCCCACTTTTTGATGGGGTTGTTTGATTTTTTTCTTGTAAATTTGTTTAAGTTCTTTGTAGATTCTGGATATTAGCCCTTTGTCAGATGGGTAGATTGTAAAAATTTTTCCCCATTCTGTAGGTTACCTGTTCACTCTGATGGTAGTTTCTTTTGCTGTGCAGATGCTCTTTAGTTTAATTAGATCCAATTTATCAATTTTGGCTTCTGTTGCCATTGCTTTTGGTGTTTTAGTCATGAAGTCCTTCCCCATGCCTATGTCCTGAATGGTGTTGCCTAGGTTTTCTTCTAGGGTTTTCATGGTTTTAGGTCTAACATTTAAGTCTTTAATCCATCGTGAATTAATTTTTGTATAAGGTATAAGGAAGGGATCCAGTTTCAGCTTTCTACATATGGCTAGCCAGTTTTCCCAGCAACATTTATTAAATAGGGAATCCTTTCTCCATTTCTTGTTTTTGTCAGATTTGTCAAAAATCAGATGGTTGTAGATGTCTGGTATTATTTCCAAGGGCTCTATTTGCACAAACAGTTCTTTAAAAATTCCCCGATAAAATTATACTATAGAATTATATCTGATAATTCTATTCTTTGTTTTAAAATTTGACTAAAATTTAAAATTTTTACTTCACATTTTAATATAAGAACTTTGAATCTAAAAGACAAACACAAAAACAGCTATCTATACTACTGTGCAATAAAGAAACTAAATCATCTTCCCTCCCCAACCTTTTAATCTGGAACCATTCCTTGCCTGTTTTAACTTTTAGGACATTGAACATTTTTCAGGAGTCCAGGTCGTTGTCTTACAGAATATCACACATTCTAGATCAGTCTGATTGCTAATGTTAAACATTTTTAGTAAGAGTACTACATTGGTAATGCTGTAGTACTCTTAGTAAACCTGTTGTAGTACTCTTACCCTGCAGAGGTAAACCCTCATTGAATCACATCAGCATTCACATCATGTAAGCTCCTCCCACTATTGATAATTCTGTTGTATGAGTTGGTTAATGGAGCAAATGCCAGATCTCATCATTGTAAAGGTACATTATTTTTTCCCATTTGTAATCAGAAGTAATCTATGAAGTGAACCTTTGGCATTATGTAAACAAAATGGGTTCCTTTAAAATTTGTTTATGTGCTTTGTCTGAGAAGGATTACTTCTTAATCATAGGAAATCTGAACTTCTCAGACATTCCCACTAGACGATGCTAAATTTTTTCAAAGGCCATCATTTAAGGTAGCGTCTGCCAAATCTCTCCATTTTAAGTGCATTTTTTTCTTTTGTAATTAATAAGCAACACATGAGGCCATGTGAATATCCTGTTCCTCAAAAACTTTCCACTCAGTGTTTTTTTACAATTACAGTCTTTTAATTATAACGTAATTGTGTGCCCATGCTAAAGCTTCAAATTTAAAGAACTACGAAAGTCTCTTCCTTATCCTACTCCAGACTCCAACTCACACTTTTGTAACATACTTTATGTACACTCTGTTAACCACTCCTTGTGCATCCTTCTGGAAGTTTTCAATGTATAAACAAACATATATGTATTTCTTGTCTTCTTACCACAAATGGGATCACAGTACATATATTGTCTTATAACTTTATTTTTTTTCGCTTAATATATCCTGGACGTCTTTCCTATCAGTAGGTACACATTCGTCTCATTCTTTTTAATAACTAAAGAGTATCCTACTTACCATTATTTCATTAGTCTTTTTAAGTATACATCACTCTGTTCGTTCACAGTTTTATACAATTTCCAACAATGTTACATTAAACATCCTTGTACATATAACTGTTCATGTTTTATGTGAATACACTTGAGTAAAATTTCTAGAAACATAACTGCTGGGTCCAAATGCATGTGTAATTTCTTTTCTTTTGATAAACACTGCCAAACTTTCTTTTTAAATTGCATTAATTTCTGCTGCCATCAATAGCAATGCTGTTTCCTCATCTCTTCTTCCTCATCAACACTGGACATTAGCAAATTCTTTAATCTTTGCCAATCTGAGAGGTAAAAGAAAAATAGCAGCTCACAGTCTTTTAATTTTTATTTTTGTAAATAAGAAAGTCGAGCATCTTTTCATGAAATTATTGAATATTTGAAATACTTTATGAATTGCTTATTTATAGGCTCTATCCTTTTTCTATTAAATATTCCTAAGAATAAGATTTTAAACAATGTATTTGAAGAAGTGTAAAACAAGTTTCATTATAATATTCATAAAACATTATGTTAGTTGGTAATTTCTACCTAAGATACTCTCCCACCAGAGAAAAATCTATAGTTTCTGCGAGTGTATACTTTCACTACCTTTAATACCCCTTTACCCAAGTGACCTATAGATTGAAAATACTTTCATAAATGTACTAGAGAATTTCCTATATCAAATCTCCTTAATTCATTTTTTAAGAAATCAAATTTCTATAGGCAAGTAGTAGGAAACAATTTAAAATTATGAAATCAGCATATTGATCTTTAACATTTTAGAACCATTAATTCATCTAGGATTTCTCATTTAGTATGAAACTAAGAAGACATTTCCAAGAACAGTGAAACTAAAAATCTAAATTAAATCTGTCTAGAGAGAGCACAGTACATCTTTTACTGTTGTATGAGCTACTCTCTTTCTACTTAAAAAGTCAATCTTGTATATACCTGGAGTACACAGTCACGGGCTAGAGTGTGATAAAACTTGCCTGATCAATGTAAAAAGCTGTGCCTGCACGGATCTCTCGTCGTTGTTTGAGATCAGTTTCAGTGGTGTCCCTTGACAGGGCAATGTATTCGACCTCCCGTTTGGTCAGCTCCTGTAGAGAAGAGAAAGAAATTATTCCAAAAATAAAATCAAATTTCCAGCATATGATTTGGAACAAGTTATCTGACAATGCCACTGCCCTTGAGAAGTGCATTTTTAAACCTAATTCTGGATTGAAACTTGTTGAGTCTAAGCTTTGAGAAAAAATAAATTGATCAATAAGTTAATCAAAATATCTATATATTATCCTCAGAGCTCTTCTTCTATGGCACTCAATCCTACTACTTAAGCAATAATAATCAAAATTCAATTTTACAAACCTTAATTTTTCCTGTAGAATTATTTCCAAATATAATGAGCAATAATTTGACAGTATTACTATTTTGCCCACAAACTATAGCCATTTCTATAAGTAATGTTCATCTTTTTTAAAGGGGTGATTTAGATTAATTTATTCCATGGATCGATGTTTGCCAAGTGTGTACAGTATGTCAGGTACTTTACCAAATGTGAAAACAAGGTAAAAATACCAATAATCAGCCGGGCGTGGTGGCTCACACCTATAATCCCAGCACTTTGGGAGGCCGAAGTGGGTAGATCACTTGAGGTCAGAAGTTCAAGACCAGCCTGGCCAACATGGTGAAACCCTGTCTCTACTAAAAATACAAAAATTAGCCAGGTATGGTGGTGCGTGCCTGTAGTCCCCGCTACTTGAGAGGCTGAGGCAGGAGAATTGCTTGAACCCAGGAGGTGGAGGTTGAGGTTGCAGTAAGCCGAGATCACACCATTGTACTCCAGTCTGGGCAACAAAGCAAGACTCCATGTCAAGAGAAAAACAAAAACAAAAACAATAATCAGGTAAACAGAAGGTAAACACACATGCATAGTTGTAGGAGAAGTAAAACGAGGATTTAAAAAAAGGAGAGGAAGGAGGTGAAGAAAAAGGAGGAGGAAAAGGAAGGAGAAGAAGGAGCAGGAGGAGGAGAAAAAAATCAAAAAAAATCATGAGATTTGAAGGGGAAACTATGCAGAATTCTTCTGTTTCAAGATAATTTATCCATCCTTAAAAGTCTTTTGCCCTATAATCATGTACAAAAAGTTTTTAACGTTATCTTTGGTTTTACAATGTTGAAGTAAAAACAA